GCATTCCCAGTAGGGAGTGTGCAGGAAGCAGCTGATCGATGTTTCTCTCTCATCGATGTTTCTAACTATCCCTCTCCCTTTCTCTCTGTAAAAAATCAATAAAATATATATTTTAAAAGAAAAGAAAGAAAATAAACCTCTTGTTTCGGCAGCCATTGAGGTCACTTTTCTGTGGCTCAGTTTCCTCTTCTGAGAAATGGGAATAATTATAGCAGCTGCCTCAGTGTGTTGGATGGGGATAGATTGAGAAAATCCTTGTCAAGTACTTAAAAGTACTGGTATTTAGTGAGTGCCTAGCAAATGTTGATAATAATAGTGATTATTGTTTTTTTACCTTTCCAACCACTCTTTGTAAGACATGGACCACACTCTCTTTAGCATACTGGTCAGCTTCCTTAGCATATGGTTTTGCTTTTCAATATCCCTTTGTAAGCAACATTTGGCACCTACCTTCCTTCATACTTTCATATTTCACGAATTTCCAAGCATGGTCATGTGTTACTTTTTAAATGTAATGACCTGCTAATATTTTCCAAATTCCAAGTACATTCACTGTCCTATGAGTTTTTCATGCTTTATTGTTTCTTTTCCTTATGACATCCCTCCCAGTGGAGGTTCTATCATTATTCCCATTTTGCAGATAAAGAAACTGAGGCCCAGAGAAGGGGAATGGGTGCCTTGGCTTCCAGCAGTACCTACTGGAGCCAGGATTGGACTCATTTTTTTTAAAAAAATTACCATTATTATTATTCATTTTATTTTTAAATCCTTACCCGAGAATATTTTTCCATTGATTTGTAGGGAGAGTGGAAGAGAGAGGAAGAGACAGAGAGAAACATCGATGTGAGAGAAACACATCAATTGGTTGCCTCCTGCATGAGCCCCGACCAGGACCCAGGCGAGGGAGGAACCTGCAACCCAGGTATGTGCCCTTGATTGGAATCGAACCCAGGACCCTTTGGTCTGCAGGCCAACCCTCTATCCACTGAGCAAAACTGGCTAGGGCAGGATCGGACTGCCCTGGACCCCGGGGGTGTCTCCTGAAGGGATCAGGGGACCTTTACATGTGGGGCCAAGTGGAGAGGAGGCAGCGATAGGAATGACAGCCACGGTTGTCCCTTCAGAGTGAGCGTACTCACCGGGCACATCAGGCTTCATGCGACAGGCAAGGCTATTGTTTCCACGTCACAGAGCCCTCAGAGAGGCTGCCACCCCCTCTAGCCCTACCAGGACCACGCCTGCACTTCTGGAAGCTGGCCTGAGAGGGCAAGGACTGGGTCTGGTGCCCCCAGGGCCTTGTACAGGGCCTGACACTCAGTAGGTGCTCAGTAAGTATTGGTTGAACAGAGAAATAGTCCGAGCCTCCAGGACTGACTCCCTGAGAAGCGGTGATGGTGTGGATGGAGCAGGGGGTGAGTCCAGAACTAGGCTGTCCCTCCCTGTGCAACCTCCTCGCGCTCTGGGGACACGGGCAGGTGGGCAGGTGGACAGACGGGCAGGAACAGGGCTGGGGCAGGAAGGCCCGCAGTGGAGATGGCAGAGGAGACCAGGTGACTGTGGGGTGGGAAGGGCCTCTGGAGAGGGAAGGGGGCTGAGTGATCCGGCTTCCTTCTGGCTGCTCTGAGACTCACAGGAAGGCCGAGGCCAGATGCCCGAAGAAAAGGGGGCAGGGAGGGGCGCCACCCATCACTCCCCTGCCCCCCTAAACTCCTCCCCTCTTCACCCTCCTGCATGCTTTCTCCCCACTCCTTCCCCCACATCCCAATCTCTGTGCCTGAAGCGCCCCCATTCCTTCCTCTCGCTCCCTGCCTCCTGGCCAACTCTGTAACCTCAAAAGCCTCCCCAGGTCTCTAGGAACCCCTGTCTCTCATTGCTGCACCCCCTCCACCCCCGCGTGCTTATGGCTGCACCTCAGACCATGACTTTCATGTGGACCCT